TTGTTCTACTAAAGTAGTTAGCAATGTGCAAAGACTAAGGAGGAAATAAGTGCGGAAAAGGCTTTCATCCTTTAATTCTTCAAGGGCTACGTTCCCCCGATTCAGCCCCAGTTCTGCCCAGTCTCCTGACCCACGCTGAGTCTTGGCATTTCCCCCAGATTTCCCCCATTCTGGTCTTTAACTTTTCTCCATTCTTTAGCATTTGGTTAAGTCTTGACAATTCGCTCCTTCATCACCACCCTTTGTGTTTTTACCTCCACCTTGCATTCCTCCATTCGCCTGGCGTTCACTTGGCTTCACCCATCAACATGTGTCTCGCTGCTCACCTCAGACGCAGCAGACTTTCCAACTAAAACCCAGACGCTTTGATTTAAAACCTTGTCTGAAACATTTCCCCAAAACCTTGGAAAATACATGTTGAACATAAAAAAAAAAAAGACACATGAGATAAAGTAAATTCTGAATGAAATGTATGTTAATCAGCAGGAGCCGGTCTGTACATGTGGTCTCCTACGTTCTTTCCTTTCAGGGTTTGTTTGAAGGTCATGACCATTCATTCCTAACCAACCTTGACATGATTCCCAGTCCTATTTTCTGCTCTATCTGCACATTGGCACATGTTTGTATAAAGTCACTCAATGATATAACTGTGGCCTCAGGTTGGGCTGCGAGCCAAAGGGTGGTTTGTTAAAAGGCGATCCTGTGGTCGGATTTCCCATAAGAACAGGCAAACATGCACAAAGAGGGGTTAACTCATATTAATCCAGCCGACTGATCAGACAGTGATCTGACACATGGAGCTTCGAACAGATGTTGGGTGGGAAGGTATTTCGGAGCGGGTGTTTTTAAGTGCAGAAATGGAGGAAGCTAAGCAGTTTATCAGGTTGACTGAGGTGCACTTGGCTCCATTTGGGCTGCACTTCATCATGTAAAAGGCCAGCAGATAATCCTCCCTTACATTCACCCCTGGAATCTTCCAGAAGCACCAACAAGCACACACTCGGGCTTATTCATAAGAGCTGCAGCCTACAGGGCTTGGTCACGGGGTCTGATTGGGTTGGGGTTTTGGGATGGAGAGATGGAAGGATAGAAGGGATTTTTCAATTTGCCAGCAAATCATAGATGATTGCAAAAAAACTCTCCTGTGCACAGATGCACACACACACACACCGTCGCAAACACAGAGCTGTGTGTACGACACACGTCTCTGCAGAAAACACGGCGTAATTGACCGCAAGGAGGTAGAGAAATAAGAAGTGGGCAGAACGTTTGATCATGTCGCTGAAACCATGAGTCAAAAAAAAAAAAAAAAATCTAGGGCAGCCATCAACAATGAGAGAGAGAGAGAGAGAGAGAGAGAGAGAGAGAGAGAATCATTAAAGAAAGAGGGGAGTCAGATAAGGAGGAACAGAGCTTGGATATCAGTGAGCCCGCCAACTTTCACTCCCCCGTTTGTGACCGAGCGATGATCAATCCGCCTCATGGGAAACCAGACCAAATATAATCGATACCCCTCCTCTCTGTCGCCAAACAACTCGTTATCTCCTCCCTGTGCAAACTGCTGCTGTACATGACCGGTGTGTCATTTCCCGGCACTGACATGATCCTACTGTAGAGTCATCAGTGACGACTGCGGTGCCGTTCTGAACATAAAACTGGCATGAATCTGCCTTTGGGTACTGTAGATGTTACAAAGCAAACAATTTTGCCAAAATTGTTTATAATAAATTCAAAAAGCAAACGTTTTCAATGAATAATTAATTCACCTTCAAAATAAGGTTTTCCTGGCTTCAGTAACTTACTCTTTATTTCTTAGTCTTTTGTATTCTACCAGGTAGTACACATGGTGATGTGGGTTAGAATTTAGCTGTTTAAGGAGATCTGATTTTGAAGGAGAAAGTATTCTTGTTTGCTCTTTTTGAAGCACTACAGTGCAGTATTACACACATCTGTGGGTGTTATCAAGGTTTCAACTGATCTAATTTAAATAACTGACTAATGAGCTAGCTGTTAGCTGTGACAAGTTTGGGTGAACTGTCCGGAAGAAAATCAGAAAATTCCACTGAAACTCCACATGGGTTCAAAGGTCATTAAGTGCATTATATTTCAAGACATCTGCCCATTAAAACTACTATTAAGATGATGATAATAAATAGTTTAACTTTCTAGTTAACTAGTGTTTTATAGCACCTCAAGAATTAGAATTGAATGGATTAACCAACTGTAAAACTGAATATAATAATAATACGGAGGTCTCTTAATTGTTTTGTCTTCTACTGACAGTTTAACCTGAGGAAACCACAGAGACCGGTGGAGATCCAATGCGTGCCTGTGTCTGTGCATCAATAACAGTCGGCGTGGATGGAGAAGTCTTATTGAGCCCATCAGGCCAGAAGGTGAGCGGATCAATAAACTCTGACCACCGGAGGCAACTGTGGTGTGGCTACAGTTACATAAGAGTATGGTAAAAAAAAAAAAACTAACAAAAAACACAGTACATGTAGTAACATGTTGCTCTCTGAATTTTCACTTATTTTCCATGTGCTTTGCTTATTGTGTGACTGCAAGGAAGCAAATCTAATTAGCAAAACTTTTCAAATTAACTTAAAGTGTTCAGTGAAATGTGGATATTTAAAAAAAAAAAAAAAGCTGAAATTTTTTCTCAGCGGGTCAAAGAGTTGTTTTAAAACATCCTGATTAAGGGAAAGCACGTCCTGCTGTTAGCCAAAATCAAATCAAGCAAAGTGAACCAAACCATGGCAAAAAGAGGGCCCACAACGACAGGCAAGGAAATTGCTAAGAAAGTATTTAGGACAGATTATTAGGTTTATCTTTCAGTTTGCCAAAAAGGAAAAAAACACATTTCAACTGTTTTATGAGGGGTTTTGTGGTGGAAATGTTTTTTGTTTTTTTTTTTTGCTTTCGGTAGATTAAGTTTAAAGGACCAGGCATTGAGGAGATCATTGTGTTTTGTTTTGTTTTTTAATGTGGTAAAACGCTTGCCCTGAAGTCACTCTTTTGGCCGCGGGCTGTCATTTTTGATTCTGTAGCATAGGTTGCTAGGTCAAAGAGAGCTTTTAGAGAGTGCTGAATGCCAATCAAGTCTCGGAGCATTGCAAACACAAGCCTAGAGTGAGGTTATGGGCACGGGAAAAACCAGTCCAGGAAACCAAGGAAGGAAATTTACATAGTGGTTAGTATTCAGCTGCCAAGTACAAGCTGTGATTCTGAAGGCAGTGGGGGGAAAAACTTCAACATTCTCACAGACTCAAATAAGTGCTACTACGGTTCACATTCAGTCTGTGACACTGGTGATTAAAAGGTTTTCCCTCTGATCACACGTTCACAACCGGCTCAGCTGCGTTTCCCCGTCCCAATCCTGGAAGTGCAGATTATGCTACATCTTCGGATTTCTAAGTCACTTTAGAGTAAGATCTGGTGTATTTAGGACTTCCCTCCTAAACTTCATGTCTACAGCACATATTCCCTGACGTATTCTTCCCATGACCACAAGAGCTGCAGTGTTTTTTTAATGTCCCGCCAACATGTTTTTCTTGCCATTTCCACAGATTGTCCAAGTCTAAAAGGCATCATCCCTCAGCCTGAAGGCTTTCCTTTCCAACAATGTCCACCAGCTGCTGCTCTGGGCTGCCACCACATCAGGCACAGGTGACCACAGTTAAACAACACAGCCATTTTCTTAGATTAATTTGACCAAAAGATCCAATAAAGTGGAAGCAAATCCTGCCTTGATGTATGGTTTGAAGAAAAAGGGCCTCAAACCCTGGGTCAAGGACCAACACTTGGTCATTGCTCATTTGTTACTGGGCCACAAAGAAAAGAAAAAAAATACCATATTGTTGGCATTTTCTCATTACCAGTGCAAAGGATGTTCAACTTTGAAAAGTAAACACATCAGGAATCTTTTCAAAATAAAACTCTTTACAGGGCTCAAGAGCAAAAAGGCCCACAGAGGAAATGACCAGACAAGCCTTAAACTTTCAAAATACATGTCGGTCATCTTTACCAGCTCCAGCAATTTAAACATGTTTGACAACAGACTGATTTACAACAATCCTCCACTGATTTATGACAATCTATTTCAGGCGTGTGCAAACTAAGGCCCAGGGGCTGGATGCAGCCCGTTTGGCTTTTTTATCCTGCCCACCAAACTTTTCCAAATAATGTTAGTAATTTCTTTCCCCTGCAATGCCCATATTTCCTCAATAGCTGGCGTAGACAAGGCTGAACGCATTTTAGCATTTTAGCTATTGACTTTTACATGTCATTTGTTTTAGTTCATACGAACGCTCCATCTATCTGCCCCCCCCCACCCGCAAAATTTTAGGACCCATTGTGGCCCTCGAGTCAAAACATCAACAAATATGACACCGTTGAACCGAACTTTACGAACATCTGACAGTCAAGGGCGTTCACACAAGCGAAATGAAGCAACAATTAGTATGTTTATATCTGACATCCACAGACCTGGCAACCCGTAGCAACACCCTCGCTGGGACCCATTTACAGTGTGTGAATTAAAGACGCCCTCGATGCTGAGACACAGAGCTGTGTGTACATAAGAGCTCTTTGTGTCGATGACATCAGCACAGTGAGTCTTAGCAGGAGGCTCGCAGCATCCCCCCCGAGCCTCCCGCAGAAGAAGAAGAGCCCTATCCAATTAGAGATGAAACGCGCTGCATTTCATGAGAGATGTCACCCTTTAGAAGCTGACACAGCCGAACATTTCTGACGGTTTCATCAAGGACTCAGACGATCCACGCCGGCCACAAACCACACACGCTTCGAGGCATTTCCTGGTATACACTGGCTGATAAGTGAATATTTCATCCTTTCTAATCCCACTCTATCACAGCTTTATTCTCCAGGCTACGTCTGTAATTTACCACCAGAATTAATGAGAAGAATAATCTAACTCGAGTGATGAAGTCAATGCTGTCTCTTAATTAATAAGAACAAAAATACACCACTTTACTCACCCTCTCCAGGTCTTGTCGCAGATGCGTGAAGAGTTTCAGACGCCTGTAGAGCACGTCCTGCTCCTGCTGGGCCAGGTTGTCCACCTCGTCTCGCTTTAACGTCACCAGCGGTTGGTTGCCGTTGGTTTTCCGCTTCAGCTTCCAGAACTGATAAAGAAAGTCCACCTGGGGAAAAAAAAACAGAGTCGGTCATTAAATGAATCTTATAGGTGGAGCCTTCAGGTCAACTTCAGGGGAATAGTTCAATAATCCATTAGATTATTGTTGATTATTACTACTACTACTGTTAAGGAGATCGGCTTCATCTAGGTTTTGAAAGTGACTCTTTTTGTTACAATCCCAAAGACACAGTCAGGAATTAGTCACAAAAAACAGGTGTAAAACACACACATTTACCTACTGTTGTCGGCCCACCTCCAGGATTATGCAGAAAAAAATGTTTCATGTCATACTCAGGGATGTTGATTAATGATGATCAACCACGATTAACCATTAGTAATCCGTGATTAATCAACAACCATCCTGCTATCAGGGATTGTCATTTTTACAGAGCTCTAACAATCTAAATCCCACATTAAACTAAATGTAAAAAAACAGTATCAAAGTATTTGTATTTGTATCAAACTCAAATTCACAGTGAGCCAAAATTAAAAACTGGGACGAAGCCTTGGGCCAAACTTAATATATGTAAAAAAAATTGATGGCAGTTGTGCATGTTTCCCCTTCTCTCTACATATGTGATGTAGAATTTTACTGCGTAAACATTGAATCTGGAACAACCAAAGCTTAATATAATAACCACATGAGAAATGAAATTAGAAATAAAAACACACATCGGTGTTGTTTGTTTCTTATTATGTCTCTTTATCTGTAGCCTTATGAGTTCCTTTTTAACGTAAATCCTTTTTTTACAGGCCAACAACAACAACAAAACAAATGCTATAACATACATCGCTAATACTACAAATCCCACCAGTATACAGGGGCTGTATACTGGTTGGCCAACTCTAGTACACATTTGATATGATCGCAAGCCAAATATAATTACACTGTGGACCAGATTTGGCCCCCGGGCCTAAGTTTGTCACGTGTGGTCTAGAGTATGTACAGTACTATAATAAGTATAAGTACTATAATAGTATAAGTACTATACTGGTTTAAACACAGAATAATACTTTGATTATTCTGTCATTAATTTCTGGACATTTCATTTTCAAACTAACACTGTTTTACTCACATGGGAGTTGGGCAGACCCAGGTTCTCCGCCACTTCCCTGGGATCCACCAGTCGGTAGAACTCGTCCTCCAGCTCCTGCAGCTTCTGTTTCCTCTGACTCACTTTCTCTCTCTCCAGCTGGTCCCGCTCGGCCCGCTCCGACGCCGACACTGCAGTACCGTCTTCGGCTCCAGGTCGCCGCCGCCGTTGGACTGGTGCTGCTGGTCGAGCCTGAGCTCGGAGCCGACGCTAGAGTTGGCTCTGCCCGTTCCGTTAGTGGCGGGGTTATTGACGTGGTTGCCGTTATTTAAGCTGGACATGTTGTTTGTTGCTGCGCTGACGCCGCTGCAGCTGGCAGTGCAGCTGTGCTCCAAACAGAAGGACTTGAAGCGAACTTCATCGTTTTCCGCCAGGATGGTTCTCATCTCCAGTCCGTGGTCGAAGGCGCAGGTCACATGGAAGGCCACGATACAGGACGGCATGGAGCACTGGAAGGAGGGGAAGAAACTACATTTGAACCTTGATGTGTTGACAACAGAATTAAAAAAAAATCAAACATCAATGTGGTTCACACAGTGCTGCGAAATGACTGAGATTCCATTAATTTAAAGTTCTTTTTATTTTGGGTTAAGAAGAAAAATATAAGTTAAGGCTGAAATAAAAATCCAGTATGATGTTGCAAAATTAATGTTTCTGAGATTTCAGCATTTTTGAGAAACCTTGATCCACTGAAACACAGGTCAACACTAGACAAAGAAAAAAAAACTTTATAATCATAAAACTGGATGAGAGTTTTTTGTTTTGTTATTTTTTTTTAAACCAAGAAGCTATAACTGTATTCTGTTCTGGATAGTTTTAAAAAATGCATTGATTTAAATATCAAACTCATTTTAGTTCTGCACACAACCTAATTAGATGGCATTAGAAGTGTCATGCAAAAAAGTACGTAAGATAAATCGTCATATATAATGAAATATAATTTTTACAAAACATTTCATGAACATGAAATGGTTATGGGTGTATTTTTTTATTTTTTCAGAATTCATCAAGCGGGCCGAATTGACACCCCAAGTGGGCCTGTTTTGGTCCACGGGCCGTATATTTGACAACCCTAATTTAAACCGACATCCGACAACCGAGTAATATTTTTTTTCAAACCAACCGTAATCACATCTGTGTTAAATATTTGGTGACTTTAGGATTTATACTCTAACATATATATATTTATACTTTAAATGAATATACTGTAGTAACAGTTGATTAAATCCAGAAGTGTTCTCAGTGTATGGTGTCATATCATTATTAAAGTCTCTTATTAAACTTGCACAGCCTGCCAATTAAAACTGTGTACATGTGTGACACTGAAAATCTTAAAGAAACTACATTCTCAATCAGCTTACTGCTGTTTTTGTTTGTCTGCTCGGCAGCATGACGTGGGAAAGGCAGGGGTTTAAACAGATCTACCCACATATCGAGTTCACAACAGGTTTTTTGTTTCTTAGGAAAACCAGAGTACAATAGCAAGATTTACGATGAAAAATACACAGTAATGAGTCTGACTATTGTATCGAATCAATGGAATGTTTCACTCATAATTAAAGATGTGCTTTAAACACAGATTACAGTGGATAGTCAGTGTTCATTTATTCATTTCTACCAAAACATTTCTTTAAAAAAAACGATCCAATCTGTGCTCGGTTTGTCACTTTAACAGGAGGACCAAATGAGGATACGAGCTAATCAGAGCTAATTTGCTGCTACAAAGGTGTACCAAACACGTTTCCAGTGGTAAAATAAGCAGACAGAGCACCACACTCTGGTCAGAACTCGGTGCTAGTTTACCGTAAAAGTAAAAGTAACACTACTTTTATGCTCTTCTCCCTCTTCATCTCTCTCCCTCTCTTCACGGCTGTAACGGCTAACAGCTAACTGCTAACTGAACACCTGCTAATCCTTCATTCATATTCATATTGCCTAATTCAATGCTTCAAACCCTCAATTAAGATTTTATAGAGAGAATTTAGTAAATTTAAACATTATACACATTGCATTCTAGTCAGTGAAATCAAATGAATGTTGTTTAACAAATGTAACAGTTCGACCGACCTGTATGCAGGTTCCTGTGTGCTCTCGACACAGGCTGCAGGACAGGGCCCAGCGACTGGCAGGGATGTGGGACACCTTGGTAATGGGCTCCATCTTCTCTGGGCAGCCAATACTCACCTACAGGAAACACACACAAAATGAGAATACGGAAAATGGAAAACAATTGAGGAACATGTAACATAGTCTGAAAAAGTGTTTCCTAAAAACATTATCGTTTGTCTCCCATCGTCTTGTGTGCCTTTCTCAATTTGTTTCGACAAAAAAACCTAGCTGTGGTCGGTGGTCTTGTAAGAATGATATCACAAACAGATATCACATTTTTGGAAAAAAAAAAACTTTTTTTTTTTAAGCAGAGGATGAATAAGAAAAAAAACAAACAAATATTTAAAAGGGAAACATAATCCAACCAAAATCTGTGCAACTATATGTTGTCAATTCAAACTTTACATTTACCAAATATAATAGTATAAAATATAAAATGTACATAAAATATAATAGTAAATATATATAAGTAGTAATATATATACAATATAACAGTAAAAATACCAAAAATACCAATAGATAAAACTGACGAGATTAAGTCTGATAATTGGAGAAAGCGTGATGACAACAACTAAAAAGGCCACAAAAATTAACAAAACCTGTGACAACTCAGGAAGAAGAAGAAGAAGAAGAAGAAAATAAATATGGACCTTGGCTAAAAAAAACAACCCCAGAAACAACACATTTACATCCACTGTAACCAGGTGTAGGCAGTGTGCTGAAATCCCGCCGCACCTTTACCTTCTTTAAATTCAACTTCACTGTGCCTGTTGGTAGTTTAATTAGTTTAGAAATTATTAAAGATAGAGAAGTGGGGCAGGTGCTGTGTGTGAGTGGACATGAATGACCCGTCCTGACCTGTTTATCAGGCCGGTAGTCACGGTGCCGTACACTGAGGCAGAGGAGATGGTTACAACAAGGGATCACATGAAATTAATTGGGGAGAATTATGCTGCCTGAGGCATATTTGGAGCCATCTTTGATAGCAGAAATTGGAGGACACCTCTCTCTCTCCCTCCCTCTCTCTCCCCCTCTCTACAGTCAACACTCTGGCTCTGTCCCCTGCTGCACCAAACACAACTAAAAAGTCAGTGACCTGTGCCAAGCAGCCATGCAGAATAGAGTAGTGAGTACTCATCACAAAAGAGCCATTTCTCCACTTCATCTTTCCGTCCCTCTCTCTACCCTTCCTTCCTCCCTCCCTCCCTCTCTCTCTCTGCCTGTTTCCAAAACCATTACACTTCTCTTTTTTTTATCTCTCATCCTGTATTTGTGCTTCCTTGTCCTTCACACTTGAATTAAAAAGCTGACGACCGATTTTCGCTGCCCACATCTCTCCCTCCTCCTTCTTCTTCCCTCCATCTCTTTGGCCGTGTATTTCTATCTGATTTCATTTTCCTCCCCCAAGTTTTCATCCCCATACAGTATCAGAGTCTACATCCGTCACTCTTTGTGCTATTATCGACGCCTCGGTGCGGCGTGCTCCAAAAGACGCGGCGGTCAATTTTCACTCCATTGAAGGCGTCGACAGAAAGCACACTCCACACAAAGGCGCCACTGTCGGCGTTCGCTGCTTTTCAACGCTTGACGGAGGAAACCCAAAGATGGCGAAAAGGATTTCTGGTCTCCAAACGCCGTAATTAATTGATCGGTTGAATCCTGTCCACGCATCAACACAGCACACCTACGACACAGTACAGTATACACTCACAGTGATTGACCTTTACACTCTGCTGCTACCTCCTAGGCTTGACGTTTGACATCAAATCTATAACGTTCTTGTGCTAATCTGCAGTTTTCACTCTGAAAACTTCAAAATTGGAAAAGAACATGCATTGAAGGACACTCAGAGGTTCATTTGAGGTTCTGTGCATTTGTCTGTTAGGCACAAGCAGCACTTTATTTTCCTTATACAGTGGGGCTTCAAGATACGAGCTCCTCTAAATACACGTTTTCCAAGTTACGAATAAGAAACGTTTCTTTCACCCTGAGCGAGGTAGCAGTCTATGACCCAGCGGTTGAGAACCTCTAGTCTAGAGTAAAGGAGTTACTAGGGAACCTCTAGTCTAGAGTAAAGGAGTTATTTAATATATTAATAAAAGTTGTAGTCATTTCTCTAAATAGTGAGACTCTCTGGTAAAGTACTGACCCTGACTCTCTGCTCAGCACCACTATAGCATTGCACCCATCTTAAGTTAAAATTCTTACTGCAGTTCTGTTGCAAATTTTCCAACGTAACACAGTGGCGGCGAGATGTTCGACTTTTTCAGCCCAGAAAGAAACTGTTGTTGTAGTTGAATGTTAACGTTGTGAATGCTGCCTTGGAAAAATAGAGCCTTTCTATCTTTGGGTTAAAGGAGGGCAAATGAAAGACACACACACGCGTGCACACACACAGCTCTGCAGGGGGCTGCATTATTTGCAGGCAGGGTGGTACGTTGGAGCACACATTCATCCGGAACTCTCTATGAATAGCAAATTATACACAGCATTTCCTTTTTGGAATTTTCCAGCAAGATATTCAATAAAAATCAGCTTGTGTCTGTATACGTGTTGTTGCACATTTCTAACCATTAGCTGATGCAACTATACTTATAAGTTGACATGAGTACGTGTGTGCTACTCACAAAAACACACACCGTATGCAAATGATCTTTTTTTTTTCTTCACCTCCACGGTAGGAAGAGAAAACAAAAGCGAGCAGAGCAAAGAAAACAATCAGCCCAATCAAGGGTGACAGAAGGCAATTAGAAGTAAGAGGTTGGAAGGTGCCAGAAGCCGCTGCGTGACTGAGAAACACGGCACTGAATAGACTCAGGCCCCGACAGCCTTTAACCGTTTAAAGGTGCGCAAGGCGTGCAGCAGCGTCCTTTCCTTAAACGCCCCCCGACCCTCCCCCTGACCCCCCTCACTACCTCCCAAACAAACGGCTTCTTTGTGGCCATTTGGCACATTCAGAGGAGACTCTCTTCCTCAAGGTATCATCAAGGCACATCAAGTTAAAAACGAGCAGCTGCCTGCCTGCACGCTTGGAAAAGTTTCCTCTTGAATCAATTTGCATTGTCTACAGACTGTTAAACAGTGAAGTCTCTGGACACAAGAAGTGGCTTCACATCTTTTGAGGGTTTCTCTGTAAACAAAGACCAAAGATTGTGGTGGTGGTGGGGGGGAACACACACACAGGTGTGTGTGGCTTTGCAAATAAAACCCCCTCAAGGCTATCATGAGTGTTTGTGTGGATCCACTGAAACTATCAGAGGTGGTTATCGTCGTTCCGACTCCCAGGTGAATTATTTGCTGAGTAATTGCAGTGAACATGGTCGAAACATACTTGGACATTTCCTAACCTTTCGCCTGAAGCTATAAAAGATATATTTTTTCCCCCGTATTAAAAATGGAAAAGAATGTCAAATCCAGTATCCAGTCGTAAGGAAACCCAATTGGCTCTTTTCGAGAACCGTAAAAAATAACTGACGCCATAAATTCAACGTATTAACGACACCTTGATTTCAAAGCACTGCAGGCGGCAGCATAAAAAAAATCCTGCCTCTAAATATTACTCGCTTTCAAGAGCAGGAATCGGTTCCAGCTTTGCTCTCTTGCATGACGCCTGAATTATGATCTGCTCTGCGATGTTTTTGCAGAACCTAATGTCACCTTCCGTTTCAAACACAACCTTCGTACACTACGCAAGTTTGGACCGACACTTAGGAGTGGGTGTTAAATGTTGGGCTTGTAGTGCCGGGTCAAACCCATTTTCACCGGGGGCCCACATTAGCAATACAGTTCTTCTTGAAGGCACTGTTTCTGCAATTGATTATTATTTCTTCAAGTTACAAATATTGTCCACTGCTGTGTAATAAAAAAGACTTTTCAGGTTAAAAAACTCTGCTGCATGGACTTTTCTTAAATTCTATTTACGCTCTCCCAGGCCATAAAAAATGAACTGGTGGGCACCATTTGGCCCACGGGCCTTGAGTTTGACACGTGTTCTTGATAGAAATTTTTCCTGCACTAATCAGCAGCAGAACAAGAAGAGCATGTTCTTAAAGCAGCCTATCGCTGGACAAGTTCATATTCGAGGGTACGATGCAAAATTGATTTTCACTTTCACAAACTAGCAGGAGTTTGTCAAAAGCCACTTTGGCCAGAAATAGAAATAGAAAAAGCAGTTAGAGCAGAACCTGCTAATATTTAAAGATATACTTCAAAATGGGCCAAAGATGATTAAATGCAGGTCAAGCTAAAGGTGAAACTCGTCTTGCTCCCACAGAAAATGTTTTTCTGTCCTAAACATATTTCAAATGGAGCATTTCTTTGCTGTAAGGCGCCTCTTTTGTGTCTTTTGATAAGTGAAGACCTGAAAAGACCTGAAGCGTGTTTACGTCTCTCGGCGGTGTTTTTTTTTTTTTTCAGAAACTCAGCTCTTGAAGACCGCAGCCTTTTCACAAACTTTTTTTTTTTGATGCTAAGATGAAAAATGCCAAGTGCAACAGAAGTGGTGTCTGCAATAACCATCCCACGGTGTTTCATGTCCTTAAGGTGGTGCACTTCTCCACGTATTTCATGGTCTCATCCGACAGCGGCCTGCTTATGCACACACATTTCCTGTACGTTTGCGTGTTTTGCCGAGTCAAGTTGTAGGATTTAAGGCTTTCTGCACCGATGGCAGCAGCTGTATGCACTCATGCAAAATAAACAGCAGCCATTCTCTCTCCAGAGCCGATATTTAATAACTCAAACAACACTCAGAGCCAGAGGAGGAGGCACACGCTCCATCCATTATCACCGCTGCAGAGTGATGCTATGAGAGGTGGTGATTTCTCAGATGAATGGTTAAAACTTTTAAGATTCTCGTGTGCCTCCAGGAGTCACGGCCACTAAAGTACCTGTGCAGTTTAGAGCACGGGTGTCAAACTCATTTTCACCGGGGGCCACATCAGCAGTACAGTTCCCCTTGATGGGAAGACTGTATAGATCAAGGGTCCCAAACCCCTGGTCCGTGGACCAGTCCCAGTCCATAGGTCATTTGGTACCGGGCCACAGTGAAAAAAAAAGTACTTAATTTTTACTAATTTACTTAGTAATATTTTAGAATAATGTGTCATTCAGACAGATGTTTTAATTTGAAAATTTAATGATGCTTCAATGCTCAGCACCTTGGTACCGTCTGTAGTAACAGGTGGTACTGGCTGACCAGTCATTGGAACAAAAAAGGTTGGGGACCGCTGGTATAAATGTAACTACTCCATAACATGTTTCTGCAATTGATTATTATTTATTCAAGCTCCAAATTTTGTTCATTGCTGTGTAATAAAAAAAAGTTTTAATTTCTTAGGTTAAAAAACTCTGCTGCATGGACTTTACTAACTGCTTTTTTAGCTCCCGCCGGCCACACAAAACGACTTGGCGGGCCAAATTTGGGCCCCGGGCCTTGAGTTTGTGGTTTAGTAAACAAGTAAACAAAATCACGTTTTTTGTGTGTGTGTCTGTGTGTGTGTGTGAGACTTTCCCTGTGTCTTTGCCCAAGTCTCACCTCTGGGATCCATAAGGCACAGCTGACGTGGACCCACTTGGTTCCACTGCGGGTGGGCTTGAGGGCACCACCTCTCTTGGGGCAGAGCAGACACTTGGGCTGCACCCCCAGAGCACAGGTCCGACACAGCCAGTTCCCCTGCGGTACCTTCAGGATGCCGTAACACGCCTGATAACAGAGAGCGGCCCGGCGTCAGTGAAGGTCCGGTTCTTACAGAGAGACATTCTCACGAGCAAAGATACTGCTGTTCCTGACCTGATGGACACAGACGTTGCATTTGTCACAGAAGACCATCTCGTTGCCGTCCTCCCCCTCGGGCGACCGGCAGACGTCGCACACCACGTCCTCGTCGTACTCGATGCCGAGGCCTTCCTCCGCCTCGATGGCCTGCTGCATCTTCTCCTCACACACGCTCTCGAGCTCCACCAGAACACACTCCATGGTCAGCTCGTCCAGCTCTGGCAGGGCTGGAGGGTTAGAGACATAAAGAGAAAGCTCATTAGTTTTGGCCTATTTTCGTGTGTTCGTTTTGCACTTGTTCTACGCTAAGTCATTTAAACTGGTGAAACTACACGGTCGTCACAAAGCTTCTTGACAACAAGGTCAACAGCCATAGGAGGATTTTCCTTTTCGAAAAATTCAAAATGTGTTGAGCCAATTTACGGAGTTATTTCTGGCCCAGGAGAGTGAGAAAAGTGTTAAAATTACACACGGCTCCTTCTTTGCATTCACAGTTAACAGGGTCACGTTCTGTTTGTGTTGTTGTACTGTAAAAGCCAAGGAATATTTCTGCTGAACAGTGTAGCCGGAGGACGTGGGAGTGAAGTCTCTGTGAAGCAGAACAACGACAAAGAGAAACGGCGCTGTTCATCTTTGATAAAAGTCCATTTACAGTTCAAATATTCTGGTTTGAACTTCTCGCCCAAAGCTAAGCTCAGTTCACAGGCCAACGGTGTGAACATTAGAATTCTCTCTTTTGCATTTGCATCTCAAGTGGTACCTCGCTTTAAGGCTGGTTAATAGTTGATGAAATACTTACTTGGCTGGAAAAGGTAAGATTTCACAGCAACGGATTGAGAACAACGAGACGGAGAGCAAAAGGTTTGACTTTTATGACAAGAAAATGTCAATGAAAATATGACAGGAATGTGTTCTTTTTTTTTACTAAATATAAATGCTGTATATGAATATTATTCATTAAAACGAAGCTGTTTAATTATTGTGTATTGTGCAACAAAATATTGCAATATTTCACTGTAATTCAGTGAATATTTTTCTTACTAAAAAAAACGCTGCTCAACACCTGATCTATCAACAAACATCAGTTGTTATTAATCAACAACTCAAGTAAAATTCCTATTCACTCAGTAACTATAGCAACGAACGGCAAACTAAGAGTATAGAGTGATGTCATCAGTGTTGTAGTGATGCTGCCCTCTGTCCCTATTTTCCTTTTTTTTTTCTTCTGTTGAGTTCAGGGTGAGACGACAGTGAGGACGGAGTCGACATCTGATGTGATTACAAATGATGCGACTGCCATTAACTTTAACTTTAACTTTAAAGTTATTCTCGGATCTCCGACGACGGCCACGTGTCGCTGCTCAACCTCACTGTATTGATTTTTTCCACTCTAAAGTGTGTACTGTGCAACTTTATGACGCTGGCGAAGAATAAATCCGAGTAGGACTCGGGGAATACAAAACAGATAGGACTGTGAACCGGAGCCAAGTGGCAGCGCTTGTTTTTGATTCTGCAGTTGATGTGAAGGAGTCAGACGTTGATCTGGTTTGACATTTACATCGTGAGCCGAACAAGAACACACGATCGGCAGGAAGGCATCGTTAAGAAATGACGCACAAGCACGTGCCGGTTCCTGTACTCCATGTACTCTCAGTACATATACCGATTTTACGTGTTTGCGTCAATGTTGGCGCACATGACAGCTGTCAGCACAGACTCTGATGAACACCCCTACTGCAGAAAATAAAGAAAAAATTGAGACAATAAATCTTCAATTGCCGAACCAATCAGGGCCAGGCGGGCTGTAAAGTGAGTCACCAATGTTTTCCGTTCTGACCCCTGTGTGATTTATGGATACTGTGTCCCAAAAATAACGCCCGAAACCCTGGCAGGGATTTATAAATACAATTACTGCTTTATCTAAGAGGAGCTGATATGATACAGAATAAAATGGAGAAGGTGAAAGAGAACTCCGAGGTCAACGGCTGTCACCGAGGCAAAAAATTAGAAGCTATGATAAACTAGATTAAACACAGAGAGAGGGAGGGATTTGGTGTACTAGATTAAACACAGAGAGAGGGAGGGAGGGATTTGGTGTTTTAAATTACTATGAATAATAAAAAAGGTGTCACTTGAGTGAATTGATACCAACAAGTAGGAATTGAACGCCATTCTGATTCACTTTTGGGCAAGTTCAAACTTCATACAAGTTCCTCCCTGACTTAAAACATTAAAACAAATAAGATGTGAGGGATTAATGATTAGTGATTATTTTTTTCAGGCATTTTTACAGTTATACATTGGAAATAAAATATAAGTGCAGACTCATTCCTGAAGTTCTTTCATAAACTGTAAAGTTCAAAAACTGAAACAATTTTCCCCATAGGAATCAGAAGCTGTCAAATATCTTCTCTGCTTCCACCATTCACCATCAATTGTTACCTACTGTCGAAGCTCACTTCGCACTCACCCATTTGTCGGAACTCCTGGTTGACGACCTCCAGCCAAGCAACATCCAGATCATCCAGGTCATAGCAACCATGCAGCTGAGTGTGAGGAGGCTGAAGACCACCGTTCTTCTCCAGTCTGTTGTCAGATGAGCCGCATGTCGACTCTAGCGGGAGTCTGTGCCGAACAAAGAGGAACAAAATTGGGATATTATTGGAAATACCTTTTAATTAGTCAGTTGTTTCAAACACAAAGTAAAAACATTTTTTTGTCGTTGTAGATGAGCATTTTCTCCAAAATGTGAAGTTGGAATTCAACACTTTTGTTTAAGCTCTCTTTATTACTGTAATAAATTCAAGACAAAACCTAAGTACAATACCTCAACACTAGGGATTTCCAATTTTTTTTTTTTTTTTTGCCGATATTGTCCAAACACTTGTTTTCCGATACCGACATCAACCGATACCAATATAGGCCTGGTAATATTTATTTATTTATCTGTAGAAACCACTGTATGTTTTGTACAATATGAGATTAAGATAAATGAGCTGCAATGCTGCCATCTAGTGACTGTCACTTTAATATACAGCTGTTTTTCCCCAAAACTATTTTTAGAGCACACATCATTTGGCGATACCCAGGCATTGCATTATTGGGTTTTCTTTATCAGAGGAAAAACCGATAACGATTCGAACAGATATTACATAACATGCTAATATCAGGCCGATATTATCGGTGGGGCGATATTATTGGACATCCCTACTCACTTAAGTATAAATAAACGACTGTTAATCGTCATTGTCTCATTACTATCCGTATATTTGTGATCCTGAGATTCGTGCATTAGCAGTTACCTATTAGCATTGAGCATTGTAGCATTTTTTGTTTGCAGCGTGCGATCCTGGAGGAACTGAACCTCTGCTACCATAGTAACACAGAATGTTTCAGTCATTTCAGATGCAAGGATTTCATCTATTGACATGCTGATGACAAACGGGATGCCCTGCCCATGTCCGGGTCTCTCCCCCCTCACGGTCCAGAAACATTACATCAGGTCAAAACATGCAGCCCGGCCATGACAGATCAAGTGGTTGTAAGGCTACAGTGCCAGGAAGTTCCTCCAGGCAGTGTCTGGTGCCCGCAGCCTCAGGCCTGACTCTCTGTCTATGCACCAACAACAACAACAGGAAACAGGGTCAGGAACTGTGCTCGACCCACTGGGAGTCAATAAAAACTCACACATATTCACATGCGCACACACACACAGTGGGCCTTCGAAAACCAGGTAACACACACACACACATATTGAATATGAAGATGAACTGCATCACAAGCACACCAGGCAGAGAGTAATTGGATAAAAAAAAGAAAAGTTACACACACACTGGCACACAGGAGCTCTATGTTTGGCATAGTAACATATTAACTTTCACACACCCACACGCCCGAACGCACACACACGGACATTTGTCTGGTACAGTCGTGACCTTTATCGGAAAAAGGTGAGCTGCGTCAGCGATCATAACAAAATCAAAACAACCTGCAACTCGGAATTTAGTCCAACAACAACAACACGTTAGGGAAAACTAGATCACCCCTCATTGACCTTACCATCATCATCATCATCATCATCATCATCATCGTCAACATTATTATTATAATTCATAATGATCAAAGTCTTTGGCGATTCCTCCTTTTCTCCTTTCTCTCACGATCGTTTTCTCCTTATCCACTGTCCTCAACCCGACAGTTTTATCGACGTATCTCCAGTGACAATTCAAACATAAGATAACGTTAACAAAAACAAAATAATTATATCCAGAATTAATTAACGTGTCAACGATAGGAGCGATAAAACAACAGGTCCATATTTAATTAGTTTTGCCGATAATGACGAAAGAGACGGCGTGTAATTATACTGTCTAATGTCTCTGCTTGTCGTACCAGCTCGCTCACCTCTACTTCAAGTTCACGTTAAAACAAATATATACTTTCTAATGGTATTTCTCTTTCCTTCCTTCAACTGCACTGCCATCTTTACCCACGTCTCATTACCTTCCCGTCAGTTTTCTCGGCGCTGCATTATTACACCTGCACTCCCGTCTATGAAGCTGGCTGGTGAGCGTGAAACTCGGTTGCCACATTTTTTCAAAACTCTTGTTCTAACAAATACTGTCTAACACCTTCGACCATTAAAGGTATTCACCAGAGCTGGTTTGCCACATATCTCCAAATCACAAACAGGTCTTTTTGGCAGTTGAATGTTAGCATTTTGTCAGTAATTGTCATTTTTTTACACAGCTGGTAACTATCTATCTATCTAGCGTGCAGGCACGGAGGCATTATTAGTAGTGGAGCAACATACAGCTGAACGTTAAATCTGCCGATAATTAGGTGCTGTTTTTGACATGTTTGTCAGCGCGGGTGGACAGTTTGGCTCGGAGGCATTATTAGTAGTGGAGCAACACAGAGGCATACAGGTGAACGTTAAATCTGCCGATAATTAGGTGCTGTTTTTGACATGTTTGTCAGCGCGGGTGGACAGTTTGGCTTTCTTGTAAATAATAATAAAAAAAAAACAGCACAGTTCTCCTTCACTCACAGGCTGAGAGGAGAATATTATATCCCGACGCACAGAGGATTATCAAAACACGGCTAGCAGTGGAAGTCACAGAAATCTGTGTACGTGTGCTCAGATGTATGAAGTGATGAGTTTTGAACCAATTAAATGACACTGACAGGTTCTCCTTCCAGAATTCTGCAAGTCATCTCTCTGTTTATGAAGTGTGTAATTACGAAGTACTAACGCCCTGAGCATATTTACTAATTACAAGTGTTTAAAACACTCGTGGGATATGGAAACATTTTTTTTTTTTACCAGTGCAACAAAGTATGTACATGTAGGTTGTACCTACATTTGGACTAAGTGTTTTAGAGTGAAATCAGATACTGAACTAACACGCCTGTGCAGTGAAGTGGAAGAAAGGGAATTAGGGAAACACACGACACCCACCCACAAGAAAGTAATCCTACTGTCTATGCTAGCTGTGTCAAACTCATTTTGGTTCAGAAGCCGCATACAACCTAATTAGATGTCAAGTGGGCCGGACCAGTAGAATGATAACATAAAAAATTATACATTACAATAAGTCCATGTTGGTTTTAATGCAAAGAAGTACAAGTATATCAGATATTGATTATTTATTCATATTTAATTAAGGTGTGAGGTGTGAATTTTTATTTTTTTTATTTTCAAGATTCATCAAGTGGGCCGAACCAAACACTCTAGCGGGCCGGTTTTGGCCCGCGGGCTGTATGTTTGACAACCCCCTGGTCTATGCTTTAGTTTTTGTTGTTGTCTGGTTTTACCCCTTAGCTTGGTTGTCAGTGCAGAAGAGACATGAGGATGTTAAAATAATGTCAAGTCATCCCTCCCCAGGATGTGGATCAGCAGAGGGTTGGAGTACAGTGTGTTCCTCCTGGCGTTGTCAGTATCATGTGTCCAAACACACACACACACACACACACACACACACACATTATCAAGTGCAAACAGATACTAGAAGGCACAGAAACAATCAAATCCTGACTGACGGGCTCGAACTGATCTTACATAATACAGGTAAACAAATCCATGTGCAATAGGTCTCCTGTGATCCAGGCTTTATTATAACAACAAAGGCAGAGATAAAGTGCAGAGTCGTCTGTCTGCGGTGAAGACAATAAAAGCTTTATGTGAAGCTATAAAAAGATGTTTTGTCTTGTTATGTGGTTATGACGAAGCCAGGCTTTGGGGAAACCCAAAATACTTAGTCAGGTTCGTTAGAAAAGTCATTTTTTTGTGTACATGTGAAGTACCTCACTGCTGCATATTTTGTTTGGTTGGTTTTATAGTGTGTACATACGCTATGCTTCTAATTCTGCCACCAAATCTATTTTTGAATAGTATTTTCCATCAATTGGTCATAAACTTGAATATATCATGACCTCAACAAGAAACCAAATTTAACAATATAATTTTTTCCTCCTAATTAATGATAAAACCATGGCGACAACTGGTTAGCTGCCCTCAGAAAAAAAAATTAACTAATAAAAAAATTAACTAACATGTAATAAAATGACCAGGTAATTTGAGGAACAAATGTCCTGATACAGAACCTTTTTGTTTGGTTAGCAATGCTATACTCTTTTTTTAAATGCTAAGTTGACGACTACTTAGTAAAAAACAATTGAGTATATCCTATATTGTGCAACATGTATTATTAAGTCTCATAAAATTAATAGTTTTGGCGCACCTCTACTGTGGACAAATGTTCACTACACTCTCTTTTCAACGTCGAGGAGTTGAGATTTAGAAAAATTGAAATACTAAAGGCACCTTGGAAATCACTCATGTTTACACTGGAGGAGCAGAAGGGAATATTCAGATGTTCCCTCAGATTCATAACAATACAACAGCCAAGTTTGCTTTGATCTTACTAGTGCGTCGTGTGAAATATTTATGAGGAGGAACTGCTCGCTGAGGAGCTGGAATTCTTAAACAGTGAAAACCAAACAACCCCCTGCCTTCACTCCTGCTCCTGCTCCTGCTCCTGCTGCAGCTGAGCGCCGAGGACCTGAGCACAAGTGTCTTCAGTTTACTCCACTGGATGTGTCTCTGGGGAGCAGGGGAGTAGGAACTGTAAAAGTATATCTGGACTGAAAAGTCTGTTATATGAGCCTGTGCCGAGAGGATGGGTGATTTATCGTCTCACGTGTGAGTGAAAGTGAAAGACGGAGATGGAGAGACACCTGGATCATATAACTGATGCAAATCACTTTTTTTAGGGTGGCTAAAACCTATTAGTTATGAATAAATAACTGGAAACAGTAGGTAGCTTGAAAAAAAAAAATATGACAACAGGGAGGCACCTTCTGACATGTTATCACCCACATGACTCATCTCGGCCTCTGATAAAAAAAAATTTAAAAATTACCAAGAGTGACGCTTTTGAATTTTGGGAAATTATTAATTCAACAAAAAGGGGGAAAAATGTTTGCATTGCGTAGAAAAGAAATACACATTGAAAACCATTCGCTTTTTCGGGTATTGTGGGGGAACATTTACAGCCACACTACAACACTGCCCCCTTCCTGTCTTTTCTCCTGCGACCTTTCTAAGGCAAGTGAGGTTCAGA